TAACTGAGAAACTTAAAGCCTGAAGGAAATTAATCAGACAGGACAATGAAGGGGAGGAGGGACAGATGTGCTTAAATAAGAGAAAACCCTCTCTTGGTATGGTCTGCTGTAAGGATGCACAGACAAGGCTCTGTCCCACAAATATCTCCCTGCCTAGATGCCACAGTGCCAGAAAACCCTGCATTTTTAAAGTTTTTTTGTTGTTGAGATAAATTTCATAAAACATAAAAATCACTCTTCTAAAGTATAAAAGCCAGTAATTTTTAGTGTGTCCATTAATTCTAGAACATTTCCATCACCCCCAAAAGAAACTTCAACTCACTCCTCCCCAGTCCCTGGCACCCACTAACCACTTTCTGTCTCTATGGCTTTGCCTACTCTGGACACCTCAGAGCCGTGGATTCGTACAATGACCTTTGTGTCTGCATTCGTTCATTTGCCATAATGTTTTCAAGGTTCATCCACATTGTAGCATATATCAGGACCCCATCCCTTTTCATGGCTGAATAGAATGCCACTGTGTGGTTAGACCACATTTTGTTCATCCATTCATCAACTGAGGGACATTTGGGTTGTTTCCACTTTGGGCCTTTTACAGATAATGCAGCTGTGAGCATTCGTCTGCAAGTTTCTGTCTAAACACACAGTTCTCTTAGGTATATATACATACCTAGGAGTGGAATGGCTGGATCACATCGTAACTCTGTCTTAACTTTTTGAGGAACTACCACACTGTCTTCCAGAGCAGTTGCACCATTTTACATTCCCACCAGCCATAGATGAGGGTTCAGGGCCACCATTTTTAAAACCCAGTTTTTTTGAGTCTAACATTGCCCTTCTAGCCCAGTCTGAGTACATTTCTCAAGTGTTACTTCTGAGCCACAGAAAGTTCTCGAGGCAGGGTCATACAGTGCTTTGGGGGGAGAGGGTACCGGGAGATGTTAAAATGGAGAAATGACACAGAAGCAGACAGGAGGCACTTAAAACAAACTGCTCGCTGCATGATTTTGCTCAAAGACGGTCCCACCAAGAATCTAAAGAGGTGGCTTTAAAATGGCCGAGGAGGCAGAAGGAAGAGCATTTCCCAGAAGCAGGTTTTTAATAAATGCATCTTGATGCAGCCGCTGATTTTCGCCCTTACCCCTCCCCTCCGCCAGTCTGTGGGCGGCCGGTCAACCCCATCGCCCAGGACCGGGAGACCCACGGAGCGTCCAGAGCTGAGACGGGCAACTTCCCCTGGCAGGCCCTCACCAGCATCTACGGCCGCGGGGGCGGGGCCCTGCTGGGCGACAGATGGGTCCTCACGGCCGCCCACACCGTCTACCCCAAGGACGGCTTCTTCCTGGGGAAGAGCCGGAGCGCGAGTGTGTTCCTGGGCCACACGAGCGCGGCCGAGCTGCTGCAGCGGGGCGGCCACCCGGTGCGCCGCGTGGTCGTGCACCCCGACTACCGGCAGAACGAGTCCCACAACTTCCACGGGGACATCGCCCTCCTGGAGCTCCAGCACGGCGTCCCGCTGGGCCCCAGCCTCCTCCCGGTCTGCCTGCCCGCCCGCGAGGCGCTGTACCGCAGCGGCCGGCTGGGCTACGTCAGCGGCTTCGGCGTGCAGATGGGCTGGCTGACGACGGAGCTGAAATACTCGCGGCTGCCCGTGGCCCCGAGGGAGGCCTGCGAGGCCTGGCTCCGCGACAAGCGGAGGAGCGAGGTGTTTTCCGACAACATGTTCTGCGCGGGGGACGAGATGCTGCAGCAGGGTGTCTGCCAGGGGGACAGTGGCGGCGCCTTTGTGGTGTGGGACGATCGTGCCCATCACTGGGTGGCCACGGGCATCGTCTCCTGGGGCATCGGGTGTGGCAAAGGGTACGGCTTCTACACCAAAGTCCTCAACTACGTGGACTGGATCAAGAGCGTGATGGGCAGGAAGGACTGACCCTGGTGCTGAGCTGGGACACTCACTGTGGAGCCCAGACCGCAGAGGGTGGGGTTGAGGACTGAGCCCTGGACTGGGGGAGGTGGGGCTCCTAATCAAGTCGCTGCTGCAGCAAGCCACTGAGCGAGAGAGATGCTCTGCCTCCCACAGCCCCCTCCTCCGCGCCCTGCACCTTCCTGCGGGTTTGCGCTGCGCCCCAGAAGCCCCGGACATCTCGGCTTTGAACTCCATCTCCCCAGGACACAGCCTCCCTCGTCTGTACTCTCCTGGGAGATAGTCCCCTTCTCATCCTCCTGTTCAAGTGCAGTGTCAGGAAGTGGTCTCAATTCGCTGCATTTCTGAAACATTCCAAAGCCCCTTTAGTTGACCTTCAAATATCCAGACTCTTGGCTTCACCACCTACCACAACTCCTAGCCGCAATTGTAGTCATAGATCTTTGTTTGCTTGTTGGTTTTACATCTTCTGTGTACCAGGCGCTTCATGTATGTTACTCCACTGACTCCTAAAACCGAAATTGCAAAGGATGAGTTATTATCCACGTTTTACCAACCAGGAAGCTGAAGCTCAGGGAGATAAAGGGACCTTTCCAAACCCCACGTCTGATACAGGACTGGGATGGCCATGTGCTTTCCAGTACACCTCTGTCCCTCTCAGGTGTCCTTAAGACCTACTGTGTCACCCACTCCCCACCCCCACGTCCTTTCTGATTCTCCCTCAGTGGGAATTCCTGCCTCGGTGAAGGTGACAACAGCTGGCTCACACTTCCTGCTGCCCCCCACCTCCTGCAGCCACCTAGGTGAGCCCCACACTGGGCTGGGCATCCCTGCAGACACCCCCAGTGCTGCTGGACACCCCAGGCCATGTCCCCATCATCAAGCATGCTGTTCCACCTGAAAAGACCAACTCTTTAATTTGTAGTACAGACTGGAGGTGATTTACAGTAAAAGACAAATAAAATACAGTTGTTTAAATGGAAATCGAAAATGAATACCATAAAACAGAGAAGACAGTAAATTTGCTAGCCTTGAGGGTCAAGTTAGCTATGTGAGTAAAGATTAAATTTATCTTTGAAAAACAGCAAGATTCAATGTTGTACACACATGTGGTTACTTCTATATTTCAAGCCTATATATAGTACAAAAAACTATTAAAAATATTCAAAATATTAATCTGAGTTTAAGTAGTATAATTTTGGCTGTTTTATTTTCCCCTATTCTCCTCTATTTGCTCAATTTTATTTAATGAGCAAGTATTAGTTTTATTTATCTTATTTTATTTATTTTTATTATTGAAAACATGACATGAGTTTCTCCCTGCCAAGACAAAGAATATATACCTAGACAGATCTGGATGTAGGTAGAGATAGATACAGATAGAGAGAGAAATACATCCACAGAGGGGAATCTACAACTACTTTAAGAGAGCAGCTGTTTTCCCCAGAATCACATCTTAAAAGGAATGATCAATGTAACAGTGTCTTCAACACTGCTTTTAAAACAAGTGCTTGAGTAATAATCTTCATCTGGCTGTTTCTTTTTTCCATCCTTGGTATAAGTCAAGGGTACAACCCAGCATGCAAGTCGAGGTTATTTCGCGTGGTGGGGCGGAGTGGAGGTCAGGCTGGGACCAAGCTATTGAGGTCCAGGTTTGTCAGTTTCAGGTTCCATGGTACCAGGACAAAACTCGGAACCACTAAGACGGTTGGGAGAGCTTCAGCCAAGCCTTAACTTCTTGGACCACCTGCCATCCTGCCCCCATAGCAAACATACAAGACACACACACTGCTGTCAGGATGCTAATGTGCAATTTGCTAGACACGATTCTGCTTCTTTCTTGCCTCCTGATTTGGTCCTTATCCTTCTCCCCCATCTTTTGTCTCTCCTGACCTAACAAGGCTATGGATCACGGCCTGGATCAGCCCTGCCAGGAGATTCTTTCCTCAGCTCTGACATAAACCTGCTGGAGAAACTCTCCATCCTTGGTTAATCTCACATCTTCTGTGCACCTGCTCAGACTACATTCAATGATGACTTGGTCACTGCCTACTGGGGAGCTGCCCCATCTTTGTGAGTCCTTGCAGTCCCCTGCCTGGGAAAGCGCCTGGCCCATTAAACAGGTAGCCTATAAATGGATAAGCAAGTGGGTGGCTGGGTGGAGAGAGGGATTCTAATAGGCGAAACAGGCAGGGTCAACTACAAAGGCCAGAGAACTCAGAGGCCTGTGCTGCAGCCAGAGCCTCCCTGGGGAACACACTGCCGTCGGAAATCTGAGCTGTAGAGTTGAAGGAAGGCTTCCAAAGAGAGCAAACTTTTAAAACAGGACACTGTGGCCTGGTGGACAGAAGAGACAGGAGCCTGGCTTCCTCTCAGAGAACACCGAGTCACTCTTGGTCCACAGCCGTGCCATCTGCCCAGACCGAGGCGGCTGGGACCCTCAGAGGCTCGCACTCTTAACTAGATGCTGAAGAAAAGAGGATGTGTCTATCCCCTCCTCGCTGCCCTTGCTTCTCTAAGAGGCGAGGTCACTGGCAGGCCTGAGTTCACTGAGCGCGGCTCTGGGGTCACAGCAACCCCTGTTCTGTGTTTAAGTGTCACTGATGAGTGAAGTAGGCCAGGGCCCCCGGGCAGCCAAGCTTCAGTCCCCTCTGAGTACTCCTGCAGTGCCCTGCTCTGGCCCCCGTTCCTGTCACATCATGCTGGGCGTGGAAACCCTGGCCATTTCTGGACCAGGGCTGCTGGGTGACTAAGAACAGGAAGGACAGGGTGAATGGAGAAGGGCAGACCAGGAAAGACAGTCCCCCTCAAATGCAATTCCCACTGCCGTTTGGGTAGGAAGCCTGTAAACACAGCAGCAGTTCCCAGGCAGGGCCCCGAAGGACAGGAGAGTTCCCATCAGACTGAGAAACAGTCTGGGCCTCCAACCAAGGACTTTTCTGTCCCTGAAAATGCAGCCCCATCTCTAGCCCTTCCCGACACAGGCCAGCAGGTGGCACCACCATCAGGGATTTCAAAACCAAAACTAAATTAAACTGGAAAATTTTTTTTTCGGTTTTGTTTATGCAAATAGTTCATTCCTTACAACATTCCTCCCGGAATGGTCCCCCCTTCCCCCTCACAGCCTTTCCCTCCCCCTTCCCTCCTCTGCATGACCGCGCTCTCTCCCTGGACACAGAGTGGATGAAGACGCTGTCAGGAGAGTCAGGGATCCAAAATCAGGCCTTGAGAAATGTGAGTAAGGCTGATGGGGACCAAGGAGGGAGGGAGAAGCCGGTGCAGAGAATCCTGGGCATAGGAGGCAATGCTGCTCCCAGGTTTATTCAGGGAGGCAGGCACATCCTTCCCCCTCTCCCCATATACCTTATCATTGCAACGTGCACAGGTGTGTACACACACGCCAACACATACCCCCACCTCGCCTCCTGAGGATGAAGGGAGACCTCAGACTCAGGAGGTGATGCTTCAGCCCCTTCTTCCTCCAGCTCATAGGGAGCAACGAGATTGGGGAGGGGAACCACTCTGCCCGGGGTGGGGGTATCCTCCGTGCCTAACTCCATCTTCTATAGGTGGTTTCTCCCAGAGGCCCTTGCTGAGCCTTTGGGAGCCCTTTCAGAAAGCCATGACTGGAAACCCTCACCCCCAATTAACTGGTCCCCAGCCAGCCCTATTCCTGGAAGTGGGGGGAGTGATGGGACAGGGCAGGGGAGGAGGAGGAGGAGGGAGGTGGAGGGAGTAGATGACCTCTGGACTGGACACTGCCCTGGGGAGGAACACCCAGTGCAGCAGCTGGAGAAATCAGCCTCCCCATTCCACCCACCCCCACCCAAAACGTCTCTGTGTGGTCGAGAATGGCCAGAGAAGAAAATGTCCCGCGGTATGACCATCCCATCCCCCCACCGTGTCCGCAACCCAAACAGCAAGGGTGCTGCTCCCCTCCAGCCCTACAGACACCTTTTTTCTTTTTGGCAGGTGGCTCTTATACCTCCTGGTGCCAGTCTTGTTCTACACGGTGGGAGGCTCCATCCCGACCCGTCAGAAGCTCTTTGGGGAGGTGACTTCTCCCCTGTACCCCAAGCCTTACCCAAACAACTTCGAGACAACCACTGTGATCACGGTCCCCGTGGGATACAGGGTGAAGCTCGTCTTCTGGCAGTTTGACCTGGAGCCTTCGGAAGGCTGTTTCTATGACTATGTCAAGGTAGGGGTCGGGTTGGGAGGGCAGAGGGGGAGCTGGTGTCTCTGGAGCCTGAGGGCGCATGCTCTAACCACCCTGGAGAGCACCCTCCATCTGGGGACACAGCCCCAAGCCTGTAAACGCTGACGGCCAAGTGGAGTTCTGAAAGCCAAGTGATGCCATGAATGGGTGTCCAGTGGTTTTAGAGACCCTCAGTGGGCACGGGGGGCAGAAACAGAGGAAGGGAGGTACCGGCGCCACTCCCAGGAAGTGCACTGTCTACGGGAGTCGGAAAAACCTTCCCCATCTGCTTACTTGCCGGGGGTCTTTGGGAAACCGCTGTGCCTCGGCTTCCCCATTTCCATGGAGAATCCAGCCATGGCTGCCTGCCCCAACAGGAGCACAGGGATGTGGGGAAGGGAGATGAGTGTGGGGAAGGGAGATGCGTGTGGCAGTGGGGCAAGCATAGCCTTCGGCAAGGACGGTGGGCTCAGCCCCCTCCTCTCTGCAACAACCCCGGGGAACCGCCCCAGGCCCATCTTTCTACATCTAATGAAAATGAGATTCTTGATTCAGGATTCGAGCACAGTCTACACACACCCCATAAATACTATTTCCAGGAGACCCCCTGGAGATTATAAGAGAAGAACATGAAAATGATCCATCTCCCAGCCCAGAGGACCTGCGACGTCAGCAGGGTTGGGGTAGGGATCTTGGTGGCAGGGAGAGTGAAAGCTAGTGATGGTGGAGGGGAGGGATGTCTGCTTTGGAAGGGTTAAGGGATCATTGAAGAAAGAGATCAGGGATGCTGGGTGGCGCTTACAGAGGCTGAGGGTGGAGGGCCCCAGAGGCTCACATACACAGAACTGAGTATGTCAGGAGGCCTGGCTGGACGTGAGTGGTTTGACTAAGGTGAGGGGAATGACAAGATAGAAAACAAAGCAGACCATCCAGGCTCCAGGAAGGAAGGAACTGTAGGGGCTGGGTAGAAACAACAGGGTTCTAGCGGAAGGCGGGCACAGGAGGAGGTGGGGATGAAGGAAGGTCTGAAAGATGCTGAGGGGACATCAAAGAGGAGGGGCGATGTTCCAGGCACAGGATAACGTGCAGAGTTAGCCAAGGGGGACTCGGGACAGAGGAAAGGGGAGCTGGCAACAGCCAGAGCCCAGCGACTAGAGAGCGGATGGAGGCTGTCCAGCAGGGGGGCGTGATCCACTCTTTGGGACAAGTGAAAGATGACATTCACTGACCTTCCACGGGGGATGCATGCCCTCAACAGCAGTCTTCCTATCTCCGTCTTCCCCCCACCAGATCTCCGCTGACAAGAAAACCCTGGGGAGGTTCTGTGGGCAGCTGGGTTCTCCACTGGGCAACCCTCCAGGGAAGAAAGAATTTATGTCCCAAGGGAACAAGATGCTGCTGACCTTCCACACGGACTTCTCCAATGAGGAGAACGGCACCATCGTGTTCTACAAGGGCTTCCTGGCCTACTACCAAGCTGTGGGTGAGCGGTCCCCGCGCCCTTTCCTCTGTCCTCGGTCGTACTGAATGAGGGGCCGGAGAAAGGGAATCTTGAATTCAAAGGAGCAGGAAGCTTGGCCTTCCTTGTTTTCCGCAAGAGTGCTTTTTCCAGAAAAGGGCTGTCCACCTGGGTCCTGTCCCCACCGGGCAGTTCCCGGAAAGCACCACAGAGGCCTGGAGGTCCCGGTGGCCAGGAGCTGACTTTGTCTTGAGGCCTCGAGTGAGTGATCTTGCTGAGACCAAGGCCACCACCGAAGTCCCCAGGCAGGAATTTGATCCTTCTCCCGGACTCTCTTCCAGACCTGGACGAATGTGCTTCCCAGCACAACTCGCCTGAGGAGAGCCCCCAGCGCCTGTGCCAGCACCTGTGTCACAACTACCTCGGCAGCTATTTCTGCTCCTGCCGTCCAGGCTATGAGCTTCAGAAGGACAGGCGCTCCTGCCAGGGTGAGGCGGGGCGGGCCGGGAGGAGGCAGGGGCTGAGCTAGGGCTCGCGGGGCCAGCCAGCCTCCCGGTGACCCGCTCCCGTCTCTCCCTCACAGCGGAGTGCAGCAGCGAGCTGTTCACAGAGCCCTCGGGCTACATCTCCAGCCTGGAGTACCCCCGGCCCTACCCCCCCGACCTGCGCTGCAACTACAGCATCCGGGTGGAGCGGGGCCTCACCATCCAGCTCAAGTTCCTCGAGCCTTTCGAAATCGATGACCACCAGCAAGTGCACTGTCCCTACGACCAGCTACAGGTACAGCCGTCCATGCCCAGAGAGACCTCGTCCTCTCCTTCCCACCCCCACGTGGCTCCCCTCACCCCTAATTCCTGCTGGATCCTTGAGCCAGTTGGTACAGAAATGGCCAACATTGTGCATGGTTTGGGCAAGTTCTTACACACTTGACAAGTGGGTTCTGGCGACCCCTTTTCCCCTTCAGCTGAAAACATACCCCAAGCAGGATCTCCTCCACCACCACCACTGCCCTGGCTCTGGGGGGAAATGTCTGAATTAGAGAGATGACCCTCCTGCCCCCGCCCCCCCCCCCAGATCTATGCCAGCGGGAGGAACATCAGGGAGTTCTGTGGGAGGCAAAGGCCTTCACACATTGACACCGGCAGCAACGCCGTGGATCTGCTGTTCTTCACGGACGAGTCAGGGGACAGCCGGGGCTGGAAACTGCACTACACCACTGAAGGTAAGGTTGCCTGCGGCCCCCTCCCCCCACTGGCCAGCAGTGGGGCAGGCTGGGGTAGGTAGAAGTAAGGCCAGTGGCTCAGAAATACGTGTGCCCTCGGGTCTCCCCCACAGTTATCAAGTGTCCCCAGCCCAAGACCCTAGACATGTTCACCATCATCCAGGACCTGCAGCCTCAGTACGAGTTCCGTGACTACTTCATTGCCACCTGCAAACAAGGCTACCAGCTCATAGAGGTAAGAGCCAGGGCTGGAAGGAGAGAGCCGGCCCGGCACTCTGGAGCAGTTCAAGTGGGTCGGCTCGCAGCGGATTTAGGCTCAGCCCCAAGTGTAGTCATAGATGTTTGAGCTGGAAGGGTCACCTGGTCGACCAGCTGCCCAACTTGCCTGCACATTGGAAACACCTAGAATTTTAAAATACTGATGTCTGAGTCCCTTGCTAGATAGACTATCCCATGGGTCTGGAGTGCAGCCTGAGCGTCAAGAGCACTTAAAGCTACTCAGGTGATTCTAATGTCCAACCAAGTTTAAGAACTACTGACCTCGCCCATAGCTCATTGCGGAATTAGGAGTCGAACAGGCAGGGGCAGAGGTGAAGTGCAAGGAGTGACTCACTCAACATCGCTGGGATGTTGTACAGCGGGAGTTAGCACCAAACCTCCTGCCTCTTGCTCCAGGACTCCTGGTTTGGGGTGGGGGGAGGTTTTTTTTTTTTTTTTTTTTTTTTTGAGGAGGTGAGGTTTTTTTTAAGACCTACTTGGTTTTATTCAGTGATTCATGGATCTGGCAGCATCCCATTTAACAACCAGAAGGGGCTCCTCCAGGGCTCTTTTATGCACATTGGTGGGCTTACCCCAGGCCCACTGCCCTGTCCTCAGCTTTGCAGACTCAGGAAAGAATGTGGCTTTATCCATTGGCCAATCACACAAAAGCTGGTGAACTAAAATGCTATTTTAAAAAAACAAAACATACAATTGGATTACCCCTGGCCCGGGACAAGGGACTGGACATCCCATCTTTGTTCAACAGATCCACTTGGAAGACCCAGTCTGAATCAGAGAAGAGACTTTGGTTTGTCCTTCAGTTGTAGTTAATTCACCCAACAAACATTCTAAGTGTTTGCTGAGTGTCGGGCAGTGTTCTGGATGTGGGAGGTACAGCAAAAGAGACAGATACTCACACAAGCTTCATGGAGCTTACCGCTGAATGCTGCATCAAGCCGAGTTAGCCAGACAGGCTACTCTCCACTCTAGGATGCTCACGAGGACTGGTTGTCCTGGGCCCCTCCTCTCTGCTCTGGTTACAACCCACCTGCCCTGTCCTGTGCCACCCGAGGCCTTGCCTTGGCATTTGTTATTCACATCACAGAATTTAAAGCAAGTCACAGTTTATCTTATATTATTGACATTTTGCTCGGACATCCTGGTTCTCATACACATTGTCTTGCAATCGTTTCCAGGGCTAACTATCTGGAATGATTGTTGATCTTAGTAAAACTCATCCATTTTGTCCATTTACTTTTCATTTCAGAGGGCACCGTCTCTGGCCCTGGCCCTGCCATCTACTCACCTGCAGCAGCATTAGCACATTTCAACATCTCAAACACCCTTGATAGTGTCTGGGCTGCACTAGTATTTTCAGAAAGGCCCTTAAGAAGACGGCAGTCTAGGGGTGGCGAGGGGCTGCAGGCACACCCAAAGGAGAGAATCGTCATCAGGGCACCATCAGGGTTCTACATCAGGGCAGAGACTGTCTCAGTGCAGAAAACACACAACAGGGCTGCCTGTTTTTGTTTTTTTTAATTTAAAATGGTGGGGTTCAACTGGACCTCAGTGGAAACAGGCAAGAGTCTAGAGAGAGGGTTGCTGGGTCTGACAGCTAGCCCTCGCCCGGACTTCCTGCTATGTGTCTCAGCACACCTACCTGTAAATCTGGTCTGAAAGGACAGGCTAGGGAGAAGAACAAAAGAGCCAGGTCCACAGGCTCTATGTGAGGTCCGAGGGCTTGAGAGATGGCTCGGCATCTCCTACTGTCCCCGGGTGGGTGAGGGCAGGAAGGGAGCTGCAGTGCCACCTGGTACTAATGGCATCTCTACCTTGGCTCAACAGGGGAACGAGGCCTTGCTCTCCTTCACCGCCGTCTGCCAGGATGACGGCACCTGGCATCGCGCCATGCCCAGGTGCAGGAGTAAGTTACAGCTTGGATGTGCCTGCCCCAGGAACCTCCACCCCCCCGCCCAGCTTTGGGGATCTAGGCTGAGAAGGGAAGAGGGGTCTAGACTAAGCCTTTCCCCCAAAGACCCTCCCCTGACTCGTCCTTTGACGCCTGTGGCCCATCTCAGGAATCAGTCAGCCCTTATCTCAGTAGGACTGATGGTTCCACCCAGAACCGACTGTCCTCCATTCCTGTACATCACAAGGGCCTCCCCGCTGACCATTATTTCCTGAAAGTTCTCAGCCTGTTCTGTGGATCCATCCCTGTTCTGTGGGCAGACTGACGTTCCAGGACAGTCCTTCTCAGCTCTCATATGGTCCTGTGTTCTCTCCAAGTCAAGGACTGCGGGCAGCCCCGAAGCCTGCCTAACGGGGCCTTCAGTTATACCACCACAGTGGGCGTGAACACCTACCAGGCCCGGATCCAGTACTACTGCCGGGAGCCATATTACAAGATGCAGACTAGAGGCGGCAGAAGTGAGGCTGAGCGAGGTAGGGACTCATGCAAATCTAGTCTTCTCCCTCTTCTTGGGACTCCTCCTCTGTGACCTCTTCCAATAGAATCCCTAGGGAGTGTATATTAACATATCTATCAGGGCACTGGCTTCAGGGGTGCCAAGAGGCACCTGATAGAGTTGAAGAAGACACCTGAGCTGATACAAAGACTTGAATCTCAGAAACAGCTCCCTCTCAACACAACCCCCACCATCACCACCACCCCCACCATCATCACTACCACCACATCATCACCACCACCCCATCATCACCACCACCCCAACCACCATCACCACCCCCCCACCATCATCACCACCACCAGGACTGCTACCAATAACAACACTACCATCACCACTCCGAACACTAGCACCAGCACAGTCACCACCATAAGTATCACCACCACCAAACTGCCATCACCACCACGACCACCACCACACCCCCACAACTTTCCCAGCAGCACTTCTTCAGCATTCTCCCTACATACACTCGCAGGCTGCTCTGTTGTGGCGTTCAGCTTTTAGGTTTATTAAATTACTCTCAAACTCATCTATGGGTATTCCTTAAAACATTTTTTAATAAAAGAAATCATAGGTTTGACACCTACAAAGAAGGAAAAAAATCTTACTTACAGGCTATATAGGGTGTTATGTCAGATCTGGGCTTTGAAGTCAGAGATCCCTCACTGTGCATCTTGGTTGTGGCCTTTAGAAGTTATGTGACCTTGTGCAAGTTATTTAAACTCAGTTTCCCCATCTATAAGATGGGATAATGATGCCTACCTGAGATCATCACTGCAATGCTTAAATGAGATAATGCAGATAAAGTGCTGAGCACCTGGCATAGCACACGGTCGGCAGTCAGAGAAAGTAGCTACCTCTGTCGTCTGCAACCCAGCGCTGTGATGCTATCATGGATGAGAGTTTGATGCGTTCCTTTCAGTTTTTGTGTTTACTGTCACAAACAGCGATCACGTCAAATATAGTAGTTAAGTATTCTGATTTTTCCACTTAACATTAAAAACCAAAATGTACGTATGGAGCCTTTTAACACTATTGATATCCCATCCTCTTATATTTGGACCTTTCCTTTGGACCTTTGCCTTCTCCCTGTGGGCACCCTTGGTGCTCACTGGCCACTGCCCATGGCCTTCCAACCTGAGCGCCCTGCCTCTCCCCTCAGGGCTGTACACCTGCACAGCGCAGGGCATCTGGAAGAATGAGCTGGAAGGGGAGAAGCTGCCTCGGTGTTTGCCAGGTGAGTGGAAACCCTCCACAGTCCTCAGTGGCTCTGGCAGGCCTGCAGGGCCTCAGAGGAAGCAAGGCACCGAGAAGGGAGGCAGGGCGAGTGGAGAGAAACTCCGGCTTGAAGCTGAAGATAGACATGGAGGCCAGAGGGAGCATCAGGGAAAAGAGTGAGAGACCCAGAGGGCTGGACCTGTCCTGACGTTCCCAGGCTTCCTCTTAGCAGATGGGAGATCAGGGAATAAAAGGAGCAAGAAAAACTCCAGGAAGAATAAACAAAAGGAGGAGAGAAGGCTGAGAGGCTGACCACAGGACAAAGACCGGGATGTGGGGAGGCAGCAGAAAGAGGAAAGGGCCCTGAGCCACAAAGAGGGGTTGGAGGGGAGCGGACTGACTGCGGAGGGAGGAGGGAGGAGGGCAGCCCGAGCTGACGAGCTGACATCTCCCTCCTCGCCTTCTCGTCTCTTCTCCAGTGTGCGGGAAACCCGTCAACCCCGTGGAGCAGAAGCAGCGCATCATCGGCGGCCAGAAGGCCAAGATGGGCAACTTCCCCTGGCAGGCCTTCACCAACGTCCACGGGCGCGGGGGCGGCGCGCTGCTGGGCGACCGCTGGATCCTCACGGCCGCGCACACGCTCCGCCCCAAGGAGGTCGACGCGCACACCAACGCCACCGTGGACGTGTTCCTGGGCCACACCAACGTGGAGGAGATCATGAAGCTGGCCAACCACCCGGTCCGCAGGGTCATCATCCACCCGGAATACCGCCAGGAGGACTCCAACAACTTCGAGGGGGACATCGCCCTCCTGGAGCTGGAAAACAGTGTCACCCTGGGCCCCAGCCTCCTCCCCATCTGCCTCCCCGACAACGAGACCTTCTATGAAACGGGCCTCGTGGGCTACGTCAGCGGCTTTGGGATCACGGAGGAGCAGAAGATTTCGCACGACCTCCGGTTCGTCCGTCTGCCCGTAGCTAGGCGAGAGCTGTGTGAGAGCTGGCTCCGGAGAAAGGACAGGAAAGACGTGTTTTCTGAAAACATGTTCTGTGCCGGGGACACGACTCGAAAGCAGGACTCCTGCCAGGGGGACAGCGGAGGGGTCTTTGTCGTAAGAGATAAGAAAAATGACCGCTGGGTGGCCACGGGCATCGTCTCCTGGGGCATCGAGTGTGGCCAGGGGTACGGCTTCTACACCAAACTCCTCAACTACGTGGACTGGATCAAGAAAGAGATGCAGGAGGAGGAGGGCTGAGCCCAGAGGTCACTAGGTCAGAACCCAGAGAGCAGTGTGTTAAAAAAAATTATCTGAGCAATTATTGATAACCACTAAGAATCCATATTAAAATCACTGACGCAGAAAAACACTGTGTGTAATCAGTTCTCTTCTCTATAACCCCACCCACATCCTTCACCTGAAACAACCCAAAGGTCACCTTTCTACTTACCCCTCAATGGGGAAGAACTGCAGAAGGTATATTCCTCAATCTCTGGTCACTGTCCTCTTCCGTTTTTATACCATCAGATTATTGAGTAGAACTCTTTTCAAAGAAAACATTACAAGAAAGTCCAGTGGGGGAAATAAGTCAAAAGCAGTATTCAATAAATATAAAAATATTTAATAAGAGCATATTTAAAATATTTGCTCAGGAAGGCAAGAGAACAATTAAGTTTATGCACACATTTACAGAGTCACAGATAACAATTTATTTCTGTATTTTGTTTGATTATACAATATGAAGGAAATCCTGATTTTCCCACATACATAGTTGCAAATATAACAGCTTATACAATATGAAGGAAATCCTGATTTTCCCACATACATAGTTGCAAATATAACAGCTTTTTTTCCTCCTTAAAAAAAAAATTTGATAATGGCTTTTTGAACAGCCCACCGTCCAATCTCTAAATTTTTCTTAAAAGAATAGTGGTATGAAATTTTTGTTTCCAAGTTGAATCACTCACAATTTTTTTTTGTAGTCTTTAAGATATATTTAAAGGTCAGAGAAGAACCCAGAACTTGGGATAAGTACTGTAAGTATTTGTGATAGAATATTATCATGATGTTAGTGCACAACTGACTCTTCTGGACTTGTCTGAACAACTTTACACAAGTGACACACAGGTCTGAACGCAAGAAGAGCAGGACAGAGTTAAAACATTCCCAAGCAATGATGAGTTTTTAAGTCCAAATACAGCTCCACAATCCCTTAGCAGACGCCCTCAAGGCCAAGTGCCTTTCAATATTCAAGATTCTACACATTTCAGAAATGTAATATATTGCCCATAATGTAATGTCCCCAGCAGGACTGAGGCAGCATCCTGTAATAATGCAGATGAATATTTAATTCTTCTGAAAAGTATTTGCACATTCACAATAAGTGTGATAGATAAAGACTCTAGATAGCTCCCCATCACTCACTGTCAGGTTTTGCCACAAAGTAAGTTTTGGTGCCAAGCTTATTAAAATGCTCTCCATTTTTAAGAGCATTTTAGATGTCAAGATTGGGGATTTCAGGACTAGGGACTTGTATAGGCAGAAATGAAGGGAAACCTTTTTATCATTCAGTCCACACAAATGCTACACCAGTGGCGTGGGAAACACTTGAGGAGCGTACACTGATTCCAGCTTTCTTAATGGTTAGAAATGTTTTGGGAAGTGAAGCACCTTCAGGATTCCAGTGGAGGTGGGACTGGAGTGAGTGGAGGAGATGGAAGCAGTAAAAACAAAAATTAAAACTAAAAAATTCAACTACCATGTTATTTCCAAGGTTCCTGGCAAATTTAAGATTCTGAGTCCGTCCCTGGTTCTTACTGTAATCAATCAAAGGTGATCCCAGAAGTATCTAACGACAGCTCTGACCTTCCCGGTTCCCACTCCCTTCCCCCAAAGTCTTGTGCGTCTAATACTTTAAGTGCCCAGAGTAGAAAAATAAGGACAAAACCAATACTCTGTGAATAGACAATTAGCAGGAGGGAAAAAAAGACAAACTGCTTTTGGACTTTGGGGCTTAACTTATCTCATAATAAGGAAAATATTTAAATTAAGACACCACATTTTTACCTGTAAGATTGGCAAAGATAATATATTATGTTGGTAAAGACATAGAGAAAACAGTCATTCATGCATTGTTTTATTGAATGTAAATTGTTACAATTTTGAGGGCAATGTTGTAACATGGAGTCAAAATTATGAATGCACATGACTTTGACTTAGCAACTCCACTTCTGTGAATTTTTCCCAAAGATATTCTCACATAAGAGATCAATGACATACATTCAAGGTTGGTCATCTCAACATTGCTTGTAATAGCAAACGATTATAGAATCTTGACTTTTGAAAAATTTGGTACCAAAGTTTCAAGAAAATTATGGAATACCCAAATAATGGAATATAATGTAGCCATTCAATCTCTAAGATAGATAAATGAAAAAAGGAAGAAACAGCAGTGTATATAAAATACTACCATTTCGTATAAAAAAGAAGATGGAGGGAAGGGTATAGCTCAGTGGTAGAACACATGCTTAGTATGCACAAGGTCCTGGGTTCAATTCCCAGTACCTGCATTAAAATAAGTAAATAAATCGAATTACTTCCCACCAAAATAAATAAATAAATAAATAAATAAATAATAAATAAATAAATAAAACTTGATGTCTCTAGAAAACAAAAAGAGTGTCTATATAGTGCTTTAATATGTATAAAATATTGCTGGAAATTTGTACAAGAAATGGTGGTGGTCTCTGGAGGAGGAAAGGAATGAGAAGAAAAGTTATCACTTTATTCTCTTTTGATCTTTCAGATTGTGAGCCATGTAGATGATTTATCTATTCCAAAAAATAAGAAGATGGAGCTCTAGTGAAATATTTTTAATTTTTAAAAAATTGTAAGGAAGTAGCCTCATTGAGAAAGTTGACATTTGGCAAAGACCGAAGGAAGTTAGATATTCAGAGATCTAGGGGAACGCATTCCAGGAAGAGGGAACAGCCAGTGCAAAGGCCCTAAGGCAAGAACATACTGGATCCATTAGGGAATTGCAAAGGCAACCAAAGCAGAGTACTAGGAACTTAACATTTTGAAAGGCTCACTCTGGCTGCTGAATTGAAAAGTGCAGAAAGCGGACCAGTAGGAGGCAATTATGCTGAAGGTAAGAAGAGAGGATAGCTCAGGCCAGGTGGCAGCAGTGGAGGTGATGCAAAATGGTCATATAGATGAAATTTGAAGGAGGAGCCAAAAGATTTCCTGATAAAGTAAACATTGGAGAGAGAAGGTTGAGAAAAACAGAGAGGTCAACTAGATGCAGAAGATTACAAGGGGAGGAGGCTTGGTGAAAAACATGCGTCCTGTTTTGAACATGCTGAGTTTCTAATAGAGGTCTGTTAGATTAGGGCCAAGATGGAGCAACAGGGGTCAGATTTACCCTCCCTCCTGAAACAAACAAATAACAGCAACAGCAATAAAAACATCAAATACACAAAATAACAGTTTTCAAGACATTAGACCTTAGGTACAAAAGATAATGATTCCTGAGAGACTGACTCCTGTGATTGTCCTAGCTTTCTGCCGTGAGTTTCCAACCTGAGGGGCTGGAAGGAGAAACCCAGGTAGGGCTCAGTGGACAGAACTAAGTATCAGAGGAGGCAGCCACACAGAGAGACCCTCCAGAAGATCCCTTCAAGTATGCACCGGCATGCGAGGAAATTACTGAAGGATGGAGAACAAAGCCATATGAGATGATTCGAGGGAACGGCACCCAGCGATCACCAGGTCTGTGAACAGTGCCTGATCCCACCAGTCAGGCTAGAAAACCTCAGAAATTCCTGGGGCATCTGATAGGGTTTGCAGAAGGCCTTGCCTCAGGAGGAGGGAACAACGAGCCCCAGATCAAATGCTGCTCTGGTCCCAGCTAACAAGTGTTCAAAAGCAAGACCCAAAAGGATCAAACTGTTTCCAAGGAACTTAATCGAATCCCAGAACAAAGCTCAAGAATATTTATAGAATTACAAAAATATCCAGCACCCAACAAGATAAAATTCACAGTCTGGCAACCAATCAAAGAATATGAGACAGACAAAGAAGCAGGGAAATACGATTCATAATGAGGAGAAAAATCCACCAAAACCAAGCTGACACTGACATAGATGAAAGAATTAGCAGACTGGGACATTAAAACAATGGTTATAACTGTATCTTGGATGTTCAAAAAGTTGCCTATATGTCTATTCCATACCCAAGGAGAGATGCTGAATAAGCTGTTTGATGTATAAACTTGGAATTGAGGGAAGTGGTCCGAGCTGATAGTGTAAATTTTGGAGTCATCGGTAGGTATATGGGTAGGTGTTTAAAGCTACAGCTTGAATGAGGCCACCAAGTGAGTGAAGTTGGAAAGAGGAGAGAAAAAGACCAAAGACTATACCCTGAGACACGCCAGAATTAAACATCTGGGAGATACTCCTGGGCTTATATTCCGAGGAAAGTCTAATTCCAAAAGACACATGGACCCCAGTGTTCGGAGCAGCACTATTTATAATAGCCAAGACATGGAAGCAACCTAAATGTCCATCAACAGATGACTGAATAAAGAAGTTGTGGTGTGTATATATATATATATATATATATATATATATATATATAAAATGGAATACCACTCGATCATAAAAAAGGATGAAATAATGCCACTTGCAGCAACGTGGATAGACCCAGAGCTTATCATACTAAGTGAAGTAAGCCAAAAAGAGAAAGAAAAATACCATATGATCTCACTTATATGTGGAATCTAAAAAATGGCACAAATTATCGTACTTACAAAATAGAAATAAACTCACAGGCATAGAAAACAAACTTTGTTTAGGGGAAAAGAGGTGGGGAGGGATAAATTGGGAGTTTGGGATCTGCAAATGCTACTATACATAAAACAGGTAAACAAGGTCCTATTGATGTTATGATAACTCACAGAGAAAAAAAAGTGACAATGAGTGTGTATATGTCCATGAATGACTGAAAAATTGTGCTGAACACTGGAATTTGACACAACATTGTAAAATGATTATAAATCAATAAAAAATGTTAAAAGAAAAAAAAGGTCCTATTGTACAGCACAGGGAACTATATTCAACATCTTGTAGTAAAGTATAATGAAAAAGTATATATATATACGTATGTGTAACTGAGTCACTATGCTGTACATCAGAGACTAACACAACATTGTAAATTGACTAAATTTCAATTTTAAAAAGGATATCAAAAAATATTAAAATAAAATAAACAAAAGTCCAAGAGAATAGGAAAAATCAGCAAAGGAGACTCAGAAATAGTGACTGTTGCGGAATAAATGCCTGCGTTCCCTCAAAATTCGTATGTTGAAGCAAAATGATGGTATTCGGAGGAGGGGCCTTTGAGAAGTAATAAATTTAGATTAGATCATCAGGGTAAGACCCTCATAATGTGATTAGCGCCCTTGTAAGAAGAGGAAGATCGCTCTCCAAGCAAATGTTCCAAGGAAAAGCCATGTGATCACGTGGTGAGGCACTGTCTGCAGGCCAGGAAGAGGGACTTCACCAAGAACTCAACCCACTGGCACCTTGACCTTGGACTTCCCAGCTGCCCACTGTCCACAGTGTCTATTGATGAAGCCTCCGTCTGTGGTATTTCCTGACGGCAGCCTGAGTTGACTAAAACAGTGACCACTGAAGTAGGAGGAAAACCTAGAGTACAGAATTTCAGAAGCCAAGGAAAAAATACATTAAGGCAAAGGAGCGATCACTTCGATCGACTTGGCAAAGGTCACTTGTAGGTCAAGATGAAGACAGAGGATCGATCCTGGGATGAAGCAATGTCAAAGTCAGCAGTGACGCAGACAAGCACAGTTTGGTGGAACGAGGAGGGCAAAAGGCAGACTGCTTTCCAAAATCTCGATCAGGGTATCTCTGTCCAGTCTCTTGGGTTCAGCTCTCCCCACTCTAATTACCTCTGCTTGGTTCCATGAAAAGACCAGATTCTCTCCTTTGGGGCCTCTTTGGGACACTGGCCTCCAGTGACCCCCAGGATTTTCTTTTATCCTGAGTTTTCTCTCCACAGTCTTCTCAGGCACTTTTTTTGCTTTTGTCTCCAGCTTCTGTGAATTTTTATTCTAACCATCCTCTTTTTTTCCTATTAGAAACCTTAGGTTCTTCTTGCTTTCTGTCCAAGAGAGATCAAGAAACATTTTCATTTTACCCATGAATAGATGGATACCCAGAACAACCTGAGCTGACTGTGCCAAAAATATTTCACAGTCATTCCCAAGCAGTGAAGACAAAGAAATAATTTGCTTCCACACGAAACATAAAGGGAGACAGAGATTGCAAACAGCCTATTTGGAGGTCAGACATAATACAGTGGTTAAAGTTAGAACTAACACCTCACCAGCAATTGTTGGTATTCTTTGTCATCTGTATTCCCTTGTAGTACAAGAGGTTTTTCAAACAGAACCTGCACCCCCAGGAAGCAAGGCTATTAGGGGACTTTCTTTAAGTTTATGCTTTTCCCTTTGGGAAAAGGTTCCTATTGCCACAGTCTCATTGTCCCCCATCCTTTATCTAGTTTGTCCCCTTCTCTGACTGAAGGGTGGGCTCATTTCAAAATCCAATTTCCTTGACCTCTTAGAACAACTGAGAAAGCCTGGATGTTTCAAAAGTGTCTTTTTTAACTTGGAAGAGAAAATGTAAAGGTAAAGAATGTGACCCTAGAGGAGTAGCATGAGGGAGATCTTTGTGGAGACGGAGCAGTTCTGTATCTTAATTACAGTGGTGGATGCATGAATCTCCACTAGTGAGGGAATGACACAAAACCATACAAGCACATTGTACCAATGTAAGTTTCCTGGCTTTGATATTGTTCTATAATTGCCTAGGCTGTAACCATTACAGGAAACTGACTATACTTCAGGGGAAAAAAGAAAGAAAGAAAAGAGATGTCAAATGCTAGCAAGGATTTGGGGAAAAGGGAACTCTTGCACATTGTTTTTGAGAATGTAAACTGATACAGTCACTATTAAAACAGCATGCAGTTTTCTCAAGAAATTAAAAATAGGATTACCACATGACCCAGCAATCCACTTCTGGGTGTTTATTCAAAAGAAATGAAACCATTATCTCAAAGAGATGTTTCTACCTTTGTACTCATTGTAGCATTATTCACAATAGCCGAAGTATGGAAAGAAACTGCGCATCCCTCAGCAGATAAATGGGTCAAGAAAATACTGTGTGTGTGTGTGTATGTGTATACACACAATATATAATAATATTCAACCTTAAAAAAGAAGAAAAGTCTGTCATTTGCAACAACGGCTGAATCTGGAGGGTGTTATTTTAAGGGAAATAAGCCAGGCAGAGAAAGGCAAGCCTCAGCCCGTCTGCAAGGGCAGAACCCAGACAGACTGGAGACTCTCCCTGGCAGGGATAGACTTCCTTTTTCTGTTGTTTGTCAGGTTCCGGGTTAATTTTTATTATTATTACTCCAATTATTTAAAAGAAGGAAAATGTCTACATCACAAGAATGTTTCTTAATCTTAGTATTTTTTCCCTTTCTTTTTTTCTCTGGAGGAATTCCCCTTCTCCTGCCCAAAACACTGTAGTCCAAGGTATACTGTCATTTCCACCGCACATGTAACAGCAGGTAGGTGGGGGAAGGTAGTTGGCAGGTACGCAGTTAAGGAGTAATGTGAATGGCTTTATGCTGCTTGGTTGACTTAACACAATCCTTCCAGAGGTTTCCTATTGTAATGCCCCTTTGACTCTTCAGACCCTTTGATTAGAGTTCTGGTTATTTCATGTGTTAACCTCTAGTCTAAGGTTAGCTGTTGAATTTGGCCCTTTTGGTCAGTGGAAGATCAAAGTCCTTTCTTGATGGTCACAGATACACCCCTTTTGGCTTCTGATAAAAACTGCTCTCCTGAAAGCCACCTGTCATATCAAACAGACCAGAGTCCACCTGAACTCTTAATCTCAAGCCATGGCTTTCGTAAGACACCCTGTTAGGTCAATGGCCACCCTGAGATAACTCTCCAGTCCTCAGTTGAAAAAGTACTAATTTCTGTTGTCCGGTCCTTTTTCATCATGAATCATTTTGTGGAGAGGAGTTGTTCATTTGTTTTCCTGTTCCCTTAGGGAAAAAACAGACGGGAGACTTCAGGTCTATACTCACCAGGATGAGCTGTAACATCTCAGTGCAGAGTTCAGTCCAAAGAAGACATTATCGCTCGACTGACATATTGACACATGCCACCAGGAAAGCAGATGAGAGCTTGCTGAATTTCTTTTTTTTTTTCAATTAAGTCATAATATTGCATTATACAAATGCACACGAAAGGAAAACTAACTTTCAGGAGATATATGGTTTATACTTCGAACTTTGACACTTAAACATCTTTGAACAGCCAGTTCTGACTGTTGTATGTGGACTTCTGAGTGCAGTTCATGTATGTTTGATGAGTTTCAATGGCAGAATATGGTACCCTGTGTTGATGACGTTCATGTTAACCCACCATATTCAGTAAATCTCAGTTGGAAGGGAAGAGAGAAGCTGAATTCCCCGTTTTCACAACAATCAGATGTTAGCTGTGAGGGGCCTGAATTTCCATGACACAACAGCCCGCCCATCACACCCGCTTGCCTGTGGTGCTGAAGTCTTGATGTGGAGTAAGACGAGTTGGCCAGAACTGGGTTATAATCATGCTTTATTACAAGTAGATAGTAGACGCTGAGAATGATGATGTAAACGGAACTTTGAACAGGTAAAGGGGAAACAAGAAATCAAGGGGATGCCCAACAGTGAATTTCAAAGTCAGAACTGGAATGCTAGGCAATCATCAGGAAAGGGAGGACTCCGTGTGGAATAGTGCAAGACAGGCGTGCCCTTCCCAGGTTGTACCACAGAAGGGGTTCAGGGGAGAGGACCCCATGGATTCTGACCACAGTGAATGACCAACACAGTGACATGATTAAACTCAACCTCCAACCAGGTATCTCAGCAATCAAGTTCTACTTAAATCATACCCCGTGCCTTCTCGCAGTCATGATGAAGTAATGGGACTATTGTAAGGAATGGAAATCAACAGGGGGGGTCACAGCCCTTGGAGAGGCTGGTGATGCCTGTATGGCTAGTCCACGCTGGGGGCACTATTTTCCAGCATCGTCTGCTTTATCCAGTCAATGTAGTTCTTCACTCGCGTGTAGATTCCATAGGTCCCACACTGGGTGCCCCAGGACACCAGGCCAGCTACGTAGAATTTGGGGCTTGTTTCATTAGGGACCTGTAGAGCAAAGGCCCCGCCACTGTCCCCTTTACAACTATCAACACCCTTCTCTCCTCCAGCACAAATCATGTTATCAGTGAAAATAAAGGAATTTACATCTATTCTGGGATTTACCCCCTTCATCTCCCTGCACTTTTCTAAGGGAGCAACAGGTAACTTTGCCCCTCTTAGCTTAATAACACGATCTTTTCTTTCGGTTCGGCCCCAGCCTGAGATCAGTCCCAGGGTTCCCTCTGAGGGGTTGTATTCTGAGGATCTGCCTGGCAGGCAGATAGGGGAGACAGTGGGTCCCATTTTCACTGGCTCTCTTAGCCGCACCAGCGCAATGTCATTGTCAAAATTCTTCCGTGTTTCCGAGGCATCCAGGACTTTCCAACCCGGATGAATAAACACACGCTCAGCAGTGAGCATCTGGGCATTGACCAGAACTGAGGTGAGCACTGAGGAGGACCCAACATACATTATGGGGTCACGGTTTCCCTCCACGACGTGGGCGGCCGTCAGCACCCAGTACTCATCAATGAGAGCTCCGCCTGCCCACGGGCTCGAGAAGAAGACTTGCCAGGGGAAACTCTCGATGTTTGCAATGAATCCTCCAAATATCTTCTGTTTTACCATCAGGGGCTCAGTGGGGACGCCACAGACTAGGAAGAAACAAGAACCAGGTGGGAGGGAGCAGGATAGACTGCCGCCCTCCTGCCCATCCTCCAACCACTCATACACCTGCTGGGCTTCAGAGTCCCCAGCACAACATGGCCAACCTTGTATCTGGTCAACCACCTCAGTGCCTGACTCATCCTGAACTTACCAAAGGACCAACCATCCCACTTTGTCAATGTCACAAGTGGCCTTGTGGGAGAGACTGGTTAAACTGAGGCAGTGTGTGAATTATTGGACCCAAATGAGCCAGCGCCTTGCACTATGGACGGCTTAACTCAGGACACTTCACCCCAGGCTCTGCACATGGGGCCAGGGCCCCAGCTGGGAGCCAGTGCTGGGAGAGTCTATCCTTGTACAGGTGGGAGGGAAGGCAAGCATTCTACCTTCGTCTGATGCCTCTTTACTGAACTCCTAATTGCAGCTGAGTCCCTCCTAATAATCCATGGAAGTAGGGCAAAAGGAGGGTTCTCTTTTTTCATCTTTCATCTCCTTCCCCATTGACTGGTTCCAGGTTTGATCACTCTGCCATCACCCAAATTTACTAAAACTGAATTTTATTTCAGATATAGTTGGCTTACCTAAATCCCTCACTAGTCCACCTGAATGGACTATGTTCTGAGTTGAGCATAACAGACAGACTTGGGTTCAAAGCCTACCCCTGCCCCTTACTAATTCTGTGAGCTTGCACTCAATTCACTCAATGTAAAATAGAACCAATAATACCTATGCCATAGGGTTGTTGAGAAGACTTGATGGCATGAGATAATAAATGCAATTAATTAGCTCAGTCCCTAGCTCTCAATAGCACTGTTGTCACACGAGGATCATTATTATGGTATAATAATATGGTATAGTATTAATATCAATAGTATTATTATGGCTTTAAGAGCCTTCTTCTGCTCCATTCTGAACTCTACTCAGCCCTTTATTTCTTTATCCCTCTGTATCTTGTTGCCATGCAGACTTTAAACACAATGACTAAGCTATTCAACTAGTCTTGTTTCCGAGTGTCAGTTCCTCACCAGTTTGCAGGCGCTGTTTTTAACAATTCTAGATCCCCTTACTACACCCACATTACCAAACCTAACTGACTCAGACTCTGACACCACTGTCACTGGTTGACTTTCCTCTTTCCCATCAGCTGGCCTGACTTCGTGTGGTTGGTGAAGTCCCCAAGGCCCCTGCAGGCCCACTGCCCAGCCTTGTCTCCCCTGCACTGAGCTGGACTCTGGTAGGCCCAGATTGTCAAGTCCTTTCCCAAGAGGATTACAGCCACTTTTAGACTGTGAGCCCCACGCACCAGCGCCTGTGGCTGTGGTCTCTCCCTAAGTCTGAGCCCTGATTACCTGGAACACATTTTGGCAGCTCTGTCCCCAGCAGCTCATTCACCCAGCTGCCGTTGCCAGCACAGCGATATTCCTCTGGAACAGAACAAGGGACAAGGGACACACTCACCACCACCTCCTCCCGCTTTCCATCCCCCCTTTCGCTGAGAGCCTCTACGCTCTGGGATTTGAGGAGGCAATGGGATCAAACCAACTAGAAAAAGATCTTGAGAACATCCTGCAAACACTGCCTCTGGCCCCCATCCTGCCAAAGAAGAGAGAAGAACCGTCTCCAAAGCAGAAGGAAGAGGGTTATGGCAGAGACTGGGAAAGTGCGTCAAGTGGGAAAATTAACTAAATTAGAAGCAATGAAATGGGACACATTGTGAACCATCCGCCCTTCATCTGGCACCACCAAGGCCTCTCCATCAAGAAAGTCAGTCGTCATAGAACAGTGACTTGAAGCTGGAAGCATTACTCCCGTGGGTTCTACATTAAATAACTGGTCAAAAGCTGGAAAACCACATGAAAATGGACATTGTAGGGGGAGTTCCTGCCACAGTAGTGAAGCCGAGCTAGGTGACCTCCATGATCTGCTATGGATGATCCTTTAGAACCTATCCTGCCCCAGATGAAAACCGTGTCTTCAGACTAAGCCAAGAAGATGAAATCTAGCTCATCACCTTCATTTGTCTCCAAACTCTCTCCAACCCAGAAAAATTGTGCTAGTCACTCTCCGACACACTCACTCTTTATCTTTTCTTTAGTCAAAGAAACCTACCACTTCCTTTAATTTCCATGTAGTAATATTTCTCCTCACAAGTGTAGCGAATGACAGAACCGAACAGGGTATCTTCTGGTTCTTCAAATTTACCATTCCGAATGGGTTCGGGAGAGCCACAGTCCACAGCTGCAAAAGGAAGGCAGGAGAGTGATGGTCAGGATGATTGCTTCCTTCCAGGAAGAGTCGCTGGGACAGTTCCATCCTCCAAGCCATGTTCCTCACTCCTTCCCTACCCCCCAAAATCATAAGCACACTAGGGATGAATCTCCCCACACCAGCTTCTATGTGGCCATGCTCTCCAGCTGGCATCTCCCAACTCCCAGCGTGCTGAGTCCTGCCATTTCAGATAGCACCTTGAAAGCTAGAAGGATGAACCTGGTTCTCGGTGGTTGGTGAGGCCTCTCCAGGAATGGACCCATATGGTGCTATTAACTCTACCAATCTCATGGCCCCTTTCTTTGAAAGAAAACTGCTAGTGTGACTGGCCTGGGCTCAGATCAGGGCTGGGACTGCATGACTGACTTCCCTTCTAAAACTGAATCCACTCTCTCACAAGCCTAAGAGGACACCGTGCATTTGAATCTTAATGCACTAATCTTTCAATTTCCTTTGTGAGAAGAGAAAAAAGAGAGCTCCATTTTAAGGAGATACGTACGTTGACACCTCAGTTTGGAATTACTCCACTTTCCATTGCTTTGGCAAGTAGAATAGACAGATGTCGAGCTAGCACTGCCCTGGAGAGGAACAGACATCACCATTAACCCAACAGAGAGATATGGGGAATCAAGATCAAAAATGGACTCAATCTCTGCCCTTGGATCAATGGGGAGTCCTCACCACAAGAAGCCTGGGGACATCTTAGCAGAATGACCCAAAGCACCCAGGAGCTGGGGCTACAAGACAACTTTGCCACAGCACCCCCTTCCCCAGGAACACTGAAGGCAAAAATTAAATGTCAAGCTGTCCAAGCAGCTCCGTGACTCACAAGAAAGAACTGAAGATCCTGAGAAGTTCTCTTTATGGAAAAGATGTCATACTTTGCTCAAACGAGGACATCCAGTAAATGATTAGACAACCCCAGGATGCTCACCCTAACCTACGGATTAGAGAGAAGCCTCCAACAGTACTTTACCTGTACAATCTCAAACCCATCCAGACAGGTTATCTTCACCACATCTCTGAACACATATTTTGCTTTCTCAGGCTCCCAAAAAGAATTGGCAGTGACTTCCTTAGGACAAGGGATTGCTTGGAGAGAATAGGAAAAAAATTTTACCAAATAGCTGGAGATTCTCTATTATATTGATATCATTCTCACACTGTCTGCAGTTGTTCAGTTGTCCAGTCATCCTCACTCCTGATGCCCAGATTCCAATGTGGAAGTGTCTCAAATAATATGGCATTACCAACTAACCACCCCCAAGCTATCTGCATTCGCAAGTCCAGGTGAAGAGTTCCTGCAATTGAGGCATTCCTAGCAACCACTGACAGGTTCAGATCTTGCTGAGGAAGGTATCTCAGTAACTACTGTACCTATCCGTACAGCAATCTATCTGTTTTGATTTTACATTGTGCAGGGAGACTTTGGTACCACCGACCGAACAGCAGAGTCTAGGTTACTCACGATCTCCATGATAACGAAATTTCCAGCCCTTTTTCTGCTCTGTGCTGTCAGTTTGGAAGATGACATTAAGGGTATTACTGTTGGTTTCAATAGTTAGTGGCCCAGGAAATCCATTACCACAGTAAGGACCAAAATGCTGGTTTCCTGCAACAAACTGAAGAGAAACAAAATGATGAAATCAGAAGAGAGAAAGAACTAAAAGAAAAAGGTAAAATGGAGGGGATGAAAGTAAAATGAAATAAGAAGTCGGGGGGGAAAAAAAGAAGAGGCATAAAGCAAGATAATGTGCCTTCAAGGAGAAACCTCTCTGTGAGTTGGAAGAAAAGTTCATCACCCGTCACGCACAATTAAGCTGTCAGGGCAGTGGCCCTCTGAATCAGCTGGTTCCACATCAAAGTCTTCTCTCCGCAGAGTTACCACCACTTGGAACCCCTCCTCCAACAGGATCTGATAATCACACCTTGAGTTCTCCGGGTATGGATTGGGGTAATTGGCACTTGTGATCTCCCCGGTCAGAGTAGTGAATACATCCCCACTGCAATTGACTGAGAAGGAAAAAGACAAAAGGAGAATCAAATACAGGGTCAAGCAGAGGAGTTCCTGCCCTTTTCTATGATTCTTCTCATGATCTGATAGTCCCGACAGAAGCCCACAGGCCGCAGTTATACACTCAATGCGTGTTAGTAGAGTACCCAACACCTATGGGCTTCCATCACATTGCTTATAATAGAGTCTTTCCTGGTTATGAAGAGCCCCAGATTAACTCGTCACAGGCACCTATCTCTCTTTCCCAATTAATTAACTTGACCCTGTAGGCGTCTCTTCCTCCACTCTTGTGGCTCTCCCGCAGTTTATGGGTAACTAAAAATAGACATCAAGTCAGGGCTGAGGCTAATCAAAATTGGAAGGGTAGACAAACCCCTTACCGAAGCCTCAAACCATTCCAAATCCCAGGGAACATGTACCCCTTTTGATGCCAGGCTCACCTCCGCAGTTCCTCTTGTCTTCATGGAGGAAGTATTCAGGGGGGCAGGAGCAGAAGTAACCACCAATGTAGTTGTTGCAGAAGTGGCTACAAGGGGCATCTGCAAAGTCTGTGCACTCATTTATATCTACAAAGAGCAGAGGAGGATTGAGGTCAAGGGCAAAGACCTAGAAGGAAGAATGAGGTTAAACCCAAAACTACAAGGGTAAGAAAAGTAGGGAGGGTCTGTTGCTTAAAGACATTCAGTGAATCACATTTCAAGATGGTCTTACCCTGTATTACTCTCCTGAAATATGATTCCAGAGTTGCGCCCTACGCATGGCTATAGGGGATTTCTCAACGCCAGAGACCTTTGACCTTTCTCACAAACAGAGCATTTCAGCTCCAGAGACAACACTCTGCAAGCTTAACGTGGTAAATCTTCTGCAGGGAGGAACCATTAGTCCATGCAATACCCTATATGATGTTAGCGTTTCTGTCAAATCTAAACAATACTTTGGCTTTATGAGATGTTCTAACTTCATCTTATCCTGGAGACAGACGTAGATGTACACAGAATTTGAAAGTTTGTTTGCCATATGTTAAATGGGTTTGAATACCATACATTCCTTTTGCGAGTCTTGGCAAGTTATTTAACTTTCTTAGTCCCTAACTTTCTTAGTCCTTACTTTCCTTATCTTTAAGTGGCAATAATAACACCTCCTTTGAACAGCTGAGGTGAAGATTAAATTAATAAACGTTATATAAAGTAGATAAATGACAAGGACCTACTGTATAGCACAGGGAGCTATACTCAATTTCTTATAATAACATATAATGGAAAAGAATCTGAAAGGAAAAATACTTGCATGTATGTATATGTATAACTGAATCACTTTGCTGTACACCTGAAACTAACACTGTAAATCAATTACACTTCAATAAAAAAATTTTTAAAACAAAAACCAAACAAACAAATTAATATAGGTAAAATTTCTAACACAGTGGCCAGTTCATAGTGGTTCTCGATAAGTTACTATTTATTATCTATTTTCATCTTTATCATCATCATCACCAAGATACAATTATGTGTTTGAATGTCACAAAGGCAATTCATGGAGGGATCCAAGCCAAGCCAACACTTCATAAGAGCTGTAAACAGAATCCTCATTTCCTGCATTGCTCAATGTTTGAACTGCTCATAACCTTGTAGCTGATCAATGAGGCACACAGAAGAGTGAGCCTTACCCACAGCAGTATAGTAGGCAGCAAACCCAGTGAACCGCTCTTCGTTGGAGAAGTCCGACCTAAAGATCACCTGGAGTTTATTGTTCGAGATGTGGAACTCTTCCACCACGGGAGAGTTGGGACTCTTGCTGGTCCTCTGTCCACAGAGTTTCCCTTCTTCAATCCCTCCTGACATTATCTAAGAGAAGAGTCAAAAAGAAGCTAGGAAAGGGTAACATTTTGGTAGGGAGCTCAGAGAAAAGGGGGCGGAGAGGCTAGACCATTTCCCACCGTAGGGCTGCTTGACTCCAGCTCATTGCATGTCTGTGGCACCCCTTCCCACACCTCTCATTCCACCAGCCCCGCCCTGACTTTGTGTGCTGATTGCAGTATACCTGCACCGAGTCGTACGCGCAGTTCTCCGACAGCTCCACATCCAGATGGGTGAAGTAGAGGTGGATCCCGTACCCTTCAGGAACTTCTATGTCCCAAGACTTGTCTACCTCATTGGGGTATGCCTGAGGATAGTTGGGGGACACGATCTCCCCATACATAGTGGGCTCGGCATAAACCCATGCCAAAAGAGGCAACACGACAATGCACCTGGGGAAAAAAGGCATATGGAGAGCTGGGTGACCCAGGTGGCAGCAGACTGGCACAGGGAGGATGGAGGGGGAAGGAGAGGGCCAACAGCACACGGAGGGAAACTTGGGTTGGAATAAACCAAAAAGGCCTAGGTCAACCCAAAACCCAGGCTTCAGAGCCGTTTTCTTGAGAAGGTGAAGGGACTGGAGACTGTGTGCTTCTCTGTAGACTGGTGATCACTTACCACATCTCTGGCGATTTGTCCATCCCTCGGTCCTGGCTCTCTGCACCTCCGGACTTTGGCGCTAAAGGGGTGGCAGGCCTTGCTGTATTTGTCTAACAAACACAGGCACCTGCTTTGGTGGTCAGGGTCAGTGTCACCTTCGTAGGAATAACACGCAGGTTATACGGAGCCATGTCACTAATCATCACCCTACGACACCCGTCCTCTCACGCTCTCCCAGCTTCTAGACTGAAACTAAACCTCATCCTTCTCCCATGGCTTCTTGGGGCCTTTTCCCAGTTTTGCTCCAAAATACTCAGTGCTTTCTTCGTCTTCTGTTCTCCTTCCTCACCCCAACCCAACCCCAGCCTTGATTCAATCAGTCTCTCTCCTGCCCTCACAAAACATCCCCATTTCCATTCCAGGTTTCAGGAGTCTTTCCCCTTCATGAGCATCCATCTAGGACACTCCTCCCTCCTCTTTTGACAATGACCAGCCTTATCACTTCAAACCAGCTCTTTACTGTGTTCATTATTGCATATATTTCTGCTGATGTTCCCAAAGATTGCTGGATGAGCGTCTGTTCCTAGGGAAAGGCAGTGACCTTGGGGGAAGTGGTCTTGGACAGGGTTGGATGGGGAAGGAGAAAAGCTGGATGACAGGAAACATAAAAGGGAAGGAAAACTATTCCTTCAATTTCCCACCTTAATTTTCCAGGTTTCTTTTTTTTTTACTAAAAAGACAAGGCATCTCCCCAGAGTTCCTATAAAAGTCATGCCAAATATATATCTAACCCTGAAAACAGTGGGAGGTGGTGGGGTGACATGGGAGTGGATGCGGGGCAACCTAAGAGAAACAGGCTGTCTGTAGTCTGCCTTCTCTTGGTTCTGCTCTTCCCAGCCCTCCATCTTTGCCCGAAACCTTCCTACATGAAGTTTTCTGCCTTCCTTTTCCTCCATCAAAGCTCTGCTCTTCGATTTTAAGGTTTTTACCTTCAGAAGCTGATGGGAGTAAGTGGATCGGTCCCCTCTCTCCTGCCAGTGGGCATGCCAGGCCACCCTGCCTGCCGGCCCCCAGGAAGAGCAGCGCAGGACCTGGGCGCTCCCTCTGCAGGACCCTCTGCCGGCCTCCCTGTCCTGGTTCTGTTCCTCTGATCCTCCACCCCAGAGTGCATGTCTGAAATTCCCTGATCCAAACAAAGAGGGGGCTGGGAGACCAAGCACAGGGAAAGGGGAACTCAACCTTGATCTTGGAGCTCCCTCTGCTTTTGGAACAAGAATTACACACTTCTCTCGGGCCTATGATTCCTCTGTCCAGGACTACAGGGCGCGAACTGGGGACTTTCACCAATTGCCTAATGCTCTTTTTAAGCCAAAGGGTGTGTTAACAGACTTTTCGGGGAAGTCAGGTGACTTGTGGGAAAAGGAGAGGATTAATACTGTAGGGAAAAGCCAAACCCGAGAAGTCCAACCCTCCAGCTGTGTACGAATCACGAATTAAGGTAGAATAGTTATCAGAAATGCAGGTCATCCCTGCCTTTAGAGCAGATACAATGGCTGAATAGTGACATAGCTAGACCCAAGCCGCTGTGTGATGATGCTTTTTTCTCTTCCTAAAATTCCCTCCACATCTCTGAACACTTAAATTCTATCCACCAATCAACCCCCAGTTCAGATGCCATCCAGAGTCCCTTATCCATCACCCCTGGGTCCAGAAATGCTTCAAAATTCAGAATGTCACAGAGTTTAAAAAGACCATGCAGTATACGGACCTCCGCTCAAGGGGCTGGGATGACTCTCCATCATCAAACATTATTTCTGCAGCTAGACATGTTGATCTTTGCAGTAAGTAGAATAACTAAAGTTATCATTTAGTTATCATTAGGTATTACATTAATAAATTACTTAGAGTTATAAATTACTTCACATCCATTCAGGTCAGGTTTTGTTGACAAAGGAATTTTGGTGTCAAATTTGGAAGGAAAAAAAAACATTTTGTTTCCAGAGGCTTGTAGAAGTCAAAGTTTCAGATAAGGGACCCAGGGATGGTGGGCCTGTGACAATTCCTCCACAGACCCTTCCCTGACCATCCAGCTCTCCTCTGTCTCTCATCGCTTTCCACCCCATCTCAGTGGCCGTATTCCAATAAATCTACAGCTTCATTGAGTGCAGATGCTCCCTTGTTTTACATACCACTAGGAATAAAAAAAAGCTGCCAATTAAACTATGATACCCTATTGACTATAAGATGCATTCTGATTCCAGAAGTGTTAACATGTGGAGGAAAACCACGTGCCTAGGAGTCGATGAAGTACAGTGTTTGTGATCATGTCTTACCTCTGGTTGACTCAGCCTTGGGCCTGGCGTCAGAGGACAGGCCAGTCCTCGCACCATCAGCAGTGAGACCTTGGGCTCATCACCTAAATTCTTAGCTTCTTTAAGTATAAAATAGAGATCATATCAGTTCTGTCTACCCTCCATGGCTTTTGGGAAGAGCTAATGAAACAATGAGAGTGAAAGAGCTTTGCAAACTATGGTGCCAAATAAATGCACACGTTAAAAGGAAGAGAATTATGAGTCTATAAGCTCTCTGCAGGCAAGTTCTGGGTCGGATTCACCTTGATCTCGCAGCATCACTCACACAGAAGATGTGCAGACGACCATCTGTTTTCCTGTGGTGCTCAGCACTTGAACCTCTTTAGACCACGTTGGGCAGTTCCTCATCGTGAGTCTTGGGAACAGAGTCCACCTCCCAGGAGAGAAGATGCAAGTGCAGGAAGTGTGTCTCTCACCAGACCAGCAGCTCCGGAGCAACTGTGAAGCGTCCACACTTGTCTCTCCAGCTCGCCTGGCATTTCTGTGAGCAACCCAGGACACATTTAATAAATTCTTCTTCTGCTAACATCTACCAGAGCTGGTTTCTGCTTCTTGCAATTGAGAACAATGCTCAGTGAGTACCTGAGAAATGAATGACTAAATGACTGCGCCAATGAGTTTAGACCATCTACTAGCTGCTTTGAGCTGTGTCACCTTCACAAACTTATTTAACCTCTCTGAGCTTCATCATGTGTGAAACGGGAATAACATCACTGACCTCAGACAGCTATCACTGTCAGGGCCTGTTGTGGTCATGATTAGATGAGATCATGGATGCTAAGCTTTCAGCATCTATCCAGCACTCAGTAACCACTTAATAAATAAACAATAATAACTTCATCTCCAAACACTGACAGCAGCCATACCAGCATCTTCCTCCACAAGAGCTTCGGACCAAGCTTCAATATACAGGGAGAAATAGAAAGAGCCAAATCTTACCAAATTGCCCAGGGCTTCCTCTCCTTCTCCTTCTGAATTCAATACTCACCAGAAAAATCGGTGACTTTCTTCTACCCACACCTACGTTTTGTCCTCCCTTCTTCAATTTTGCCATCCAAGTGAAATATTTTATTTTTCTCTCTAAACCTCCGAGGAGACAATAAATCATACATCTAATGGCATCTCTGGGCCCCGTCTCCTTCCCCAGTTCAACAAGGACTGAAGCCAAGACACTTCAGTGACAATCTTGACAGAGCAGGTGCCATGTTACCGAATGTGCCCAGTATCGTTAGGATTCATAAAAACGCTGGTCCTTATTGTCACCCGCAGGGTGCTCTGCAACATGCTGGTGTAATAATGTGGATATACAAACCAGAAATTAGAACCTTACATGTTAATATTAAGTACAACTAACACACACATACATCAAAATGAATAGGGCATTTTATTTTATTTTACAGGGGGAGGTAATTAGGTTTATTTTTAGGGAAAGTAGTGGGGATTGAACCCAGGGCCTCCTGCAAGCTAAGCATGTGCTCTACCACTTGAGCTACGCTTTCTTCTCTCAATACGAATAGGGCATTTTATAAAAAAAAATCACTAGTGTTACTCAGAGTCGTAACTCTCATATTCTCAATGTTAGAGTCTCCAAAGGGTCTGGATAATAGCCTCCCTCTTCCCATTCCAAGTTCTAGAGAAACTGAGAAAACAAAAAGCACCAGAGGGGAAGGTATAGCTCAAGTGGTTCAGTGCATGGTTAGCATGCACGAGGTCCTGGATTCAATCCCCAGTACCTCCTCCAAAAATTAAACCTAATTACCTACCCCCGGCCAAAAAATAAAAATAGCAATTTTTAAAAAGCAGTAAATGGAGGCCAAAATCTTCTCTTTAAAACCCATAAAGGCCAAGATGGAGGAAGTAGCCTAGTATAAAAGCCAAATGGTGGCTAACGAACCCAGAATTAAACAGAATTATCTTTTGAGACACAGGCAATGGTAGGCCAGAGGAGACCTCCCCAAAGAGAGAACATATGATCCCTCCCTCACTCCCAAGAGGAAGAAGGGCCCAGGTACTCTTTATCATGGATCTTCTCCCATCTTTACCAGTTAGATGTCACTCCACCTGCCCAGGGCAAAGTAAGTGATGGCACGGAGAGTCATACCACAGAGCTCTCTCCATCAGGGAAAGCCTATCAGAGGTAGTGGAAACATTTCTCCCTAACATTCTCAAGGCTTTTTTCTTTAACCTGCTAGGTTTGACAATTAAGCAGATAACCAGCCAAGGATGTGGCTGTGTACCTGGGAGACGAGATTAGGACTCTCATTAGGGCAGTCCATTCACCCAGTGCCAACCACTCTTGTGTTCGCCAGCCCCACCAGCCCCAGAAGCCCCCAAAATTATTCTGAATGATCCACTAGCATTAACTATGTTCTATGCCGCTGGAAATTCCCTTCCTGTTGCATTTCCCATCCCAAATTTCATCCAGCCATGTCAATAAGATAGCTGTCAGACCTCTGCATAAATGATGGTGCTAGGAAATTCCAATAGTAAGATGCCAACATTAAGGGGTGTCACAAATTTGAACAACAATAAAAGAACCCTCCCATTATGAAACTCCAAAATTAAAGTCCAAATTCCATTGCAAACTAAATTTCAAAGACGTTAAAGTCTAAAATCACTGAAGTTCAAAGTATAGGTCACAAAACCACCTGTCCCAATTTGTGTTCAGTTCAGTCCCAGCTACAGGGTTTCCAACACCTCGGCAGAAGCATGGTCCTTTCGGTAGCTGTAGCCTGGGCTGGAACGAGTGCATTCCCACCAGGGTCAGGGACCACACCAGTGCCACGGCAAGCCTTCCCGGAGCTTGGTTTTGAAAGTTCCAAAGATCGACACAAAAACTGCTAGAAATAATCAAAGAATTCAGCAAGGTAGCAGGTTACAAGATTAACTTTCAAAAATCAGTTGCATTTCTTTACACTAACGATGAATCAACAGAAAAAGAAAGTAAAGAAACAATCCCCTTTAAAATAGCACCCAGAGTAATAAAACACCTAAGAATAAATCTAACCAAGGAGGTGAAAGACTTACACACAGAAAACTAAATTAAAGAAGACTTAAAAAAATGGAAGGATATCCCATGCTACTGGATTGGAAGAATCAATATTGTTAAAATGATCAAACTGCCCAAGGCAATCTACAGATTTAATGCAATCCCTATCCAATTACCCAGGACATATTTCACAGAACTAGAACAAATCATAATAAAATTTATATGGAGTCACAAAAGACCTAGCATTGCAAAAACATTACTGAAGAAAAAGAAAGAGGCTGGAGGAATAACTCTCCCAGACTTCAGACAATACTATAGAGCTACAGTAATCAAAATAGCAGGGTATTGGTACAAAAACAGACATATGGACCAATGGAACAGAATAGAGAGCCCAGAAATGAATCCACAAACTTTTGGTCAACTAATCTTCGACAAAGGAGGCAAGAATATACAATGGAATAAAGACAGTCTCTTCAGCAAATGGTGTTGGGAAAACTGGACAGCAACATGTAAATCAATGAAGCTAGAACACTCCCTTACACCATACACAAAAATAAACTCAAAATGGATCAAAGACAAACACAAGACAAGAGAAAATAAACCTCCTAGAAGAAAACATAGGCAAAATATTACCTGACATACATCTCAAAAATGTTCTGCTAGGGCAGTCTACCCAAGCAATAGAAATAAAAGCAAGAATAAACAAATGGGACCTAATGAAACTTACAAGCTTCTGCACAGCAAACCGTAAGTAAAACAAAAAGACAACCTACGGAATGGGAGAAAATTTTTGCAAATGAAACCAACAAAG